GAGGCGGGGGAGCGGGAGCCAGGACTCCTGGGCTCTCTTCACAGCTCTGGGAGGAGAGTGGAGTCTAGTGGTTAGAGAGGGGGCAAGGAGCCAGGACTCTGCCTGGGGATCCGGAGGCAGGGGAGCCCCCTTTCAGCGATGCCCTGGCTCCATCCCCACAGGTGACCTACAACGTGTCGGAGTTCGTGGAGAAGAACAACGACTTGCTGTTCCGCGACCTCTCGCAGGCCATGTGGAAAGCTCAGCACCCATTGCTGCGCTCCCTCTTTCCCGAAGGGGACCCCCAAAAAGCCTCCCTCCGGCGCCCCCCCACCGCCGGCTCCCAGTTCAAGGCCTCCGTTACGACCCTCATGAAGAACCTGTACGCCAAGAACCCCAACTACATCAGGTAGGCAGGGCCGGGGCCTCCGTGCCTGCTGCTCTCAAACCCAGGCACTGGGGGAGAATCTCCCTGATTGTGAGCAGTGTGGGGGCTTTGACACACAGTGGAGCAAGGCGTGACTCTCTCCCGTCTGTGAAGAGACTCCGTTGCCTGTCAGAGCAAGGGGAGAAATTCCCTCTGCTGTTAGTAGTGGAGGGTTCTCTTTGACATACAGGGGAGTGAGGAGAGAATCTCCCCGGGCTGTGAGCAGTATAGGGGCTATGAAACACAGCCGCATAAGGGGAGACTCTCCCAGCTCCATAGGGAGGGTTGACACATGAGGCTGAATCTCCCCACGCTCTGAGCAGTGCAGGGGCTTTGACGCTCACCGCGGAGCCATCTCTGACCTCCTCCCCTCCGCGGCCCAGGTGCATCAAGCCCAACGACAACAAGGTGCCGGGTGAGTTCACGGACGTGCTGGTCCAGATGCAGGTCCGGAAGGGGAGACTCTCCCAGCTCCATAGGGAGGGTTGACACATGAGGCTGAATCTCCCCACGCTCTGAGCAGTGCAGGGGCTTTGACGCTCACCGCGGAGCCATCTCTGACCTCCTCCCCTCCGCGGCCCAGGTGCATCAAGCCCAACGACAACAAGGTGCCGGGTGAGTTCACGGACGTGCTGGTCCAGATGCAGGTCCGGTACCTGGGGCTGCTGGAGAACGTGCGGGTGCGGCGGGCCGGCTACGCCTACCGGCAGGCCTACGACCCCTG